CCTGAGCGCCCGCCTCCCGCCTCGCCCGCACCCTCTCGGAGCGCTCCGGCGGCGGGGAAGGGGCGGGCCCACACTGCAGGGCCTCGAGTTTGGGGACCTCTCCTGCCAGGAGGCCACCTCTGGCCGGGGACACCCGGCGGGACTGAAGGAAGAGGGCGCGGCACAGAACTCGGAACACGGCACCACCTCTGTTCCTGCTGTTCGGGCAGCGCCTTCTCCCTGGACCGGGAGCCTTTCCAAATACAGTGGCAGTGGCTTGGCCTCCTGGGGTCTGGCTGCGGACTGTGTTTCCCGTTTCCGCCTGGGACGCAGCTTCCCTCCCCGGGGGCCATATAGCCCAGGAGGTGCAGGAACCCGGGGAGGGAGGCCTGGACTCCTGGGTTCCAGTCCTACCTCTCACTGGGCTAGGGGAGGGACACAATGGAGCCAGTGGCTGGGAATTCTCACGGAGTCACTTAAAAATGGGGATGCAGCAGGTTAAAGGGCAGGTGCTATTGCCCCGGGAAGCACAAGTAGTGAAACCTAGGCCTGGGCGTGGGGAGGGAGGATGCGGCAGCTTCCAGAGTCCACCTTGGGCCCCCACCCCAGGCTTCTTCCCTTTCTCCCCTCCTGGACCAACAGATTCCCCTACAGCCTGAACTGCTGGGCCTCCTCCCTCCCACTCCTGCCTACCTCCCGGGTGGGCATCCAGCTCTCCATCCTGCAGCCCCCGCCCAGCTTCTGCCCTGGATCACTCACTGGGTTATAGGTCTCATCACACAGATGAGGGAGCACAAGCCGCCAGAGAGTCAGGAGCTTGCCCAGCGTTTCACAGCGAGCTGGTACTGGACAGCCCAAGTGTGTGTCTCCGTTTCTGCTCGGACAATTAAAGAGCTTGAAAGTTCTCGCTCCTGCCCTGCCAATAAGCAAAAAGCTGTACAAACTGAAAATCAATGATTTTTCTTAGACCCACTAGAGAACGGAAGTCCCAGGGCCAACTGCCACTCCAAAATCTGGAGAGAAGCAGATCCAGAGTCACAGCTGAAGTCTGCTCACCTGGAGCAGACAGGATTGGAGCCATAAACTGGCAGGGCAGCTTAAATGGTCATTTTGACAAATTGCTAGGGGCTGAGTGCACACTAGTATGAGACTGAAAAAACTCCTGGGGGTCACAACCTAAGAGGGAGGGCATAGTTTTATGATTTACCTCCAGAAATCTCCCCAAACCCCCCATGGCTCATGCAAGGGGAGGGGGAAGTTGCCATTGTGAAACCCACCCACAGCGTTCTCGGTAACAAAGGCCTGCTCTCCAGGAATCAAGGCTTCACCAGGGCCTCATCCAGCCTGGGGGAAGGCGTTTCCCACTCCAGCCCCTCTAACCTTCCTGTCTTACCTAAGCGGGGAAAGCTAAGACACACTAGGGAATGTCACAGCCCAGGGACATAAGATTCTAGAACATTCTCCTCCCCAACTCCTTACGTCGACAGACCTCCAGTGTAATAACTGTCACAGCTGCAAGAGCTGCGAGACACACACGCTACCTCAGGAGGAGGTCTTAGGGATCTCAGGCAACGGAGGAGACAAGAACAAAGACCCCAGAGGAAGTTGAAGCCACCAGCTCCTATAGCTACAGCAAACGTGAAGCACAGTCCAACCGCTAGCCAGATTAATGTAAGTCCTCACGGTAAAGGCCCACGTAGCTCAGTGCCTGTTACCCAGCACATCACGTCCAGCTTTCAGAAAAAATTACAGGGCGTGATACATGACAAGAAAAGACAGTCTGCGGAGAAGCAGCAGCAGAACCAGACTCAGGTAGGACACAGAATGTGGAATTCTCAGACAAAGAATTTCAAATAACTACGATTAATATGTTAAGGGGTCTAATGGAAGAAGTTGACAACATGCAGGAAGGAATGGGCAATGTAAGCAGAGAGATGAAAACTGTAAGAAAAAAATTAAAAAGAAAGAAATGGTAGAAATCAAAACACTGTCATGGAAATGAGGAACGCCTTTGATGAGTTCGGCAGTAGAGTAGACACCGACAAGGGAAAAATCAGTGAGCTTGAAGACATGTTCATAGGAACGTCCCAAAGCAATAGACGAAGAGAAAAACGTTAAAAAACAAACAGAACAGGGGCCAGCCCTGTGGCGTAGCGGTTAAGTGCGTGTGCTCCACTGCTGGCGTCCTGGGTTCGGATCCCAGGCGCGCACCGACGCACCGCTTGTCAGGCCATGCTGTGGCGGTGTCCTGCATAAAGTGAAGGAAGATCGGCACGGATGTTAGCTCAGGGCCAGTCTCCCTCAGCAAAAAAGAGAAGGATTGGCATGGATGTTAGCTCAGGACTGATCTTCCTCACAAAAAAAAAAAAACAAAAAATGAACAGAACATCCAAGAGCTGTGGGACAATTTCAAAAGGTGTAACATATGTGTACTTGGACAACCAGAAAGAGAGAATGGAGCAGAAGAGATATTTGAAGTAATAATGGCAGAGAATTTTCTAAAATTAATGGCAAATACCAAACAGCAGATTCAAGAATGTAAGAGAACAAAAAACAGGATAAATACAAAAAAATCTACACCTAGGCATATAGTATTCAAACTGCAGAAAACCAAAGACAATAAGAACATTTGGAAAATAAGAAAATTTCCCCCAGAAGGGACAAAACACCCTATCAATAGAGGAACAAGGAGAAGGATGACAGCAAACTTCTCATTAGAAACCGTGCAGACAAGGAGAGAGTGAAGTGAAGGCCAGTCATGTGTCACTTGACGGGGGTACGTTCTGAGAAATGCATCATGAGGCGATTTGGCCGTTGTGCGAATATCACAGAGTGTTCTTTTTTTTTTTTTTTTAAGATTTTATTTATTTATTTTTTCCCCCCAAAGCCCCAGTAGATAGTTGTATGTCATAACTGCACATCCTTCTAGTTGGTGTATGTGGGACGCGGCCTCAGCATGGCCAGAGAAGCAGTGTGTCGGTGTGCGCCTAGGATCCCAAGCTGGGCCGCCAGCAGCGGAGCGCACGCACTTAGCCACTAAGCCACGGGGCCGGCCCATCATAGAGTGTTCTTACACAAACCTAGATGGTATAGCCCATTGCACACCTAGGCTAGATGGTACTAATCTTATGGGACCATGGTTGTATATCCGCTCCGTCGTTGATGAAATATCACTATGCAGCACATGACTGTATTTAAAGTGTTGAAAAAAAAAATCAACCTGAAATTCTATATCTGGCAAAATTATCCTTCAAGAGTGAAGGAGAAATAAATACTTCTCAGAAAAACAAAAACTGAGGGAATTCATCACCAGCAGACCTGCCCTCCAAAAAATGTTAAAAGAAGTTCCTCAGAGAAAAGGAAAATGATAGAGGTCAGACACTCTATGTATTGGATGATTATAGTGTGTGGATAAGTGAAATGAATGGCAGCAGAGCCATCAGGATGGGAGGGAGGAATTGGGGACACTCTGTTATAAGGTGTCCCCTTATAACAGTGCACTACATGGGGATGGATAGTGTTTTTGAAGGTGGGCTTCTATTAGTTAAAAATGTCTATTTCCTCTGTACTATCTCTTCAAATTTTTCTGTAAATCTAAAATTGTTCTGAAATAAAGTCTATTAATAAAAAATTACAGCATAAATAAAATGTATATTGCCCACTAAAATCATTTTAAAAAGTATAAATGATATGCTTAGAAAGGAGGTAAAATGAAATCATATTAATAAATGCTCAGTTAAAACCAGAGGAGGCAGAAAAAAATTACACACAGTAGATTATAATCCAGTTCTGTCGATAATCACTTTAAAGGCAAATGATCAAAATACACCAATTGAAATTCATAGATTGTCAGAGTGGATAAAAAGCAAGGCCCAACTATAGGTTGCCTACAAGAAACCCACTTTAATAGAAAGACTCAAGTTAAAAATAAAGGGATGGAGAAAAATATAACATGCTGCCATTAATCAAAAGAAATCTGGACTAGTAGCTATATTAAATTCAGACAAAGCAAATTTCAGTAATAGAAGCCAGAACGGGGTCTTCTAGTCTTTACCAGACGGTCTGCTCCCTGAGGACAGGCCCCTGGCTATTGAACCCCCAGGGTACAGCATCTGACATACGCTAGGCGCTAGGCATAGTATTTGTATAAATAAATAAGCACATGAATGCACAAAAGGATGAATGAATGACTGAATGAATGCTCTGCCGACTTGGCTGTTTCCATGAGGCCTGAGCTCCTGCCGTGGCCGGTAGCCACCAGCCGGATGGCCTGGACAATTTCTCCAAGTGCCTTCTAGAGCCAGCGATGTTTGTGGGGAAGTAGGGACAGGACACTGCCTGGGCCGCAGGGACAAAGCTGGTCCTTTGAGCTGACGTGCCCTCAAGCCCTGTGTGATGGAAACAGCCTCGGAAGCTAGCCCTGCGTCTGAGAAAACCCCTGGATTTTCTTCTCCAAACATTGGCTTTGTGCTGTCAGCAGATGACTCAGGGCCCACAAAGGCTGCCTTCCTGCCTCTCCAGGCCCCGCCTGGCACGAGGCGGACACCCAGCCTTGCTGCAGACTCCCTTGATGACCCCAGGCAGGACCTTTCCCACCCTCGGCTCCAGTGTCCCTACCTCTTGAGTGGGGTAGGGAGGAGGTGAGACCAGGTCACTGTTGGATGCCCTGGGTCCTAGCCCACTGGTCCTGAGGGTAGCATGAAGGTCCAGCAGCATTGCTCACATTTCCAGGAGCCCAGTGGGCACTGTCGGCTGCCAGAACCAGGACACAGAGGCCAGCAGAATATCCAAAGCCTCTTTTGGCCAGACTTGGGTCAGTGTGGGCGGCCAGCCATGCATGGGCTCCCGCATACCAGACGCCCACTGAGTACAGTCATTAGTTCCTTCTCCAGAATGATGGGGAAGGCCACGGGGCAGCTTTTTTGCCTACTGGGCCACTTGCCTTCCCCTGTCTGGAGGGAGCAGCCCAGGTGCTGGTTAATCCCTTCTCCCCAGGGCCCAGGCTTCCTCTGGCTACTCAGCCGCAGCAAGAGAATGTGCTGGGAGTCATCTCGTGAGCACTGGGGAGTGAGTTGGTCATCGCTGTGCCACTACCTGTGTGATGTGGATCACGGTGGGGCAAGAGGCCTGGGGCCAGCAGAGGACTCAGACTGGAGCCCAAGG